GGTTCCACCCCGACCCCGTGTCGGCCTCTGGGGGTGAAGATCCTGCTGGAATCCCCCCAGTCCTGCCCCGTCTGGGGGAAAGCCCCGCACCCCCAAACCTCCTCCACCTTCTCCATCTCAGTGACAAAGAGGCGAAAGCGGCTGGAAGAAGTCGCCAGTTCTAATAAATTCTAACAAAAAGCCTGGAAAAAGTGGTTAAATGTGTTTCCGGTAAGAAATGGACCATCCGGTCTTTTTCTCTCTGAAGCCCCAAAACTTATAAATCAGTAAAAAGCGACGATTGCACGGACTTAAAATCTGCATATTTCAAAAATATTGTGTGTTTGGTTGCTTTCAGCTCAGAAACGCCGAACCGAGGAGCGACTCGCAAAGATGGATTTTGGCAGTTGTGCGTTTCAAAACACTACTCGGAAAATATTCCTCCTCTCCACAGACAATAAAGATTATTTATAAACACTACCCCAGCTCAGAAGCTTCTGGTTCTCCACTGCAGGCTGACAATGCTCTGAGTTCTTCCTCACAGCCAGACACACTTGGCGCTGATTCTGCAAGCAGGAAAAAGTTTTCACTTCGAATTTTATTTTGAATAACTCTTTCCACTTCCTCTTCCCTTTACACGCCACAACAACCCCATATCTACGATTAATCTCGTTCTCAAACCCAGCAAAACTCGCATATCCTGCCTCCTCTCTTCCAAGGATTCAGACTCTTGGACTCTGCTCCTTGAGTTTTCCTTCTCCGAGTTGTGTTGGTTTTTTTTGTTTTTACAGATGGAAGAGTTTTTTATTTAATTTCTGGTGGGCTTTAATTAAGGATTTAAAACCCAAACGCCTCTGGAATGTCACCCGGAGCGGGCAGCGCTGCACGACGTGGTCTCCAAGCGAGCAGACCTGGGATGAAGCTGTAATTTGCCTTAAGCCCCTCTCAGAAAAGGCCGCAAAGAGATGAGCGATGGGGAGATGCATAAAAAATAAACTCTTGAACAAACGGAAACCTCCAGAGGAGCGAAAGCAAATGGGTTTTGCAGATCTTCTTGTGAGGTTTCCATTCACCAGGGATCTGAAACCCCTCGGTTTCTGCCTCACAGCCACGCTCCTGAGAGTCTTCTCGGTTTAAATTTATATACTACAGAAAATTATATACTCACATGCTGACATAGTTCATCATTATTTATAGGAGGCGCACCAGGATATTTTTTTTTTCCCAGGAATATATTTATTACAGGTAAGACACGGCCAATCTATCTGGCGAACAGAGAACAGGTGTTTTGCTTCAATTAACGTTCAATAATTTCATCTCTCCTTATTCAACGCCCTGCTACCAACACGGCTGTTTATCCATCACTTGTATAAACACATTTCCATGCGCCAGGCGAGTTTCGTCTCCACAACACACTTAAATCAGCCCTTCCCTTTCCCCAGCTCTCATAACATTTGCGGAGTCCCTCCGAATCTCCTGTGGACCGGCCTGATTTTTAAAAAATCATTTCTGAAAGGCAATAAAGGCGAGAAATATGACAGCGCGAGCTCCCGGCTCGTATTTCACGCCTGGTGACACAGGGGCTCTGCCTTTCCGAACCTCACCAACTCTCGGGGAAGTTTAAAGAAGGGAGCGGGGGGGGAAAAAAAAAAAAAAAAAAAAAGGAGGTGGAAATGTGGAAAGTTGGAAAAATGAGGAATTCCCCCCTGGTTTCACACGAGCCCCGGTTGGGTGAGAGGCACCGGAGGGAGCAGCGCTCCTGCCCTCGCTGCTGGGGGATCCCTCTGCCCGCTCCAGTGCCGGGGGCGAAGTTGAGTCATTTTGGGTGAAAACCCCCCGGAAAGGGGAGCAGAGTCCGCAGGGCAGCGGGAAGTGCTCACAGGACTCACCTGGTGACATCTCCCCACGGGTGGCTTGGCAGGATCTCAACCCCGAGGCTGGAGAGGGGTCCCCAAACCCTCCCCAACCCTCACCTTGGCTGGAGCCCGGACGGAACCTCCTCGTCCAGCACAGGGAGGGGTTGGAGCTGCCTGGGGGGGCTCTCGGTGTCCAGACAGCTGCAAAAATTCGAATTAAATCTGACCTCCGGCATTAAGATCTGGCTCTCCCTGCCCATCATCCCGACCCTCTGGAATTATTTTTTTTGTTTGTTTTAAAATGAAAATGGACAGCTTCCTAATTGCGCCTCATTTAGAGGAGCCCCGGTCCCGGACGTGGGGGAAACGCGTCCCTCCGTCAGGCTGCAGGGCAGATGCTCCTGGAAAAGCCTCGTTTTTAGGAATAAAGGGAAATCTCGGGCTTTGGATGGAGGTGTTTAATCGCCTTCATCATCCTCCAGCACCAGTGAAACACCTCTGGCAGCGATTTCCCACCTCCGCTCTGTGCGGGCACAGACACTCACACGGACACGGGGAAACGCGAAATGGGGTTTTCCTTCATCCCAGGCGGTTATTGGCACCCCCTCACTGTTATTATTAGCCTGTTAATACAGATTTCCCACCTCTGCACACCTCAGGAAGGATTCGCGATGATTTATCATTCCTAGAAATCTCTTTGCCCTTCACTTCAAATATCCTTCGGTGCTGGGGGCTGAGAGGGAGCGGGACGGAGGGGCAATAGATTAAAAGAGGCAAATTGATCCAGACTGTTACGGCCGAAGTCCAGAGAAACACTTTTGCCGCGCTCACGGGGAGCACCTTTCCCTTAACCAACATTTACGGCGCCATCGGAGCGTCTCGCAATAAAGGGATTTATCACCAGAACTTGGGAGAACCGAGCCCGTTTCCCCGCGTGGCTGGGGCTGGGGCCGCCCCGAGCTCGAAGCCCCG